GGACCCCGGGGGGGGGAGGGCGCCCGCCGGCCTCCACTCCAACGTGCGGCTCCTCAGCGGGCTGCTCCTCACCATGAGCGGCAACAACCCGTGAGTGGCCCCTTGGCGGTGGGGGGCGGACGGTTTCTGAGGTGCTTATTAAAGCCGTAGTGGAGATCTGAGAACTTAACTTACACTCCTGTAAGCGTGTTGGAGTTGTTACAGAAAGATGGTTTGTCAAATATAGGATGTGGATTGGGCTCAGGGTAGTTGTGCAAGTAACTGGGTTGCCTTGAAGTCTGAGTCTGTTTAAAGAAAATGTGCTTTAAAGGGCACTTGCTTGTGATGGGGAGGATGGAGGCCACTCTGTTATGGAAAGCAGTGGCCAGGCAGCTACATATCAGTTGTCATTGCTGATGATATGTCAAAAATGACAATTACCTTTGTACACTGTTATCAGAAAGTGGCAAGATGATCCCTTTGTGAGGAGATAATACAATTTATCCTAGGACCCTTCCGCTGCAGTAAAGCAGCAGCAACAGCTGGAAGCTGAAGCCAGATAAACCTGTGCTAGAAATACTTTGGAACTGTAAGTTTTTGTACTTATGCAGTTAGCTGATCCTAGCCTCTCTGTTTGCATTTCTTCTAGGGAATTGTTTTCACCATCTCAGAAATACCAACTCCTTGTATATCATGCTGACTCTCTCTTCCATGACAAAGAATATAGAAATGCTGTAAGTAAGTATACAATGGCCTTGCAGCAGAAAAAGGCGTTAAGTAAAACATCCAAAGTAAGACCTTCTACTGGGAACACTGCATCAACTCCCCAAAGCCAGGTATTTAAACGCTAACTAATGTGCTACATCAGGTGGTCAGGCACCCCTTCAAATTAATTTTGCTCACTTAGCATGGATAAGGCATGCATTAAAGCAGATGCTTGCTGATATTTTAAATATAAAATATACTGTTTTCTAGTGAAAAACTTAGTTTGATCTAATATACTAAACATGAGATTTTAGTACATGTAATTCATGTTTTTCATTTGTAGGCAAAAGCAATATGAACCAGCAGTAGGCTATACTGGTGACTTTATTGCAGTGTAAACGTGAATAAAGCTTTTCAATAACTATTTTTTTTAAGATGACTAAAACAGCATCATACTTAAATGTTTGTTTGTTTCAGTGTTTACCATCTGAAATTGAAGTGAAATATAAAATGGCCGAGTGTTACACAATGCTGAAGCAGGACAAAGATGCCATTGCTATCCTTGATGGGATTCCTTCCAGACAGAGGACCCCAAAGGTTGGTTCCGGTGGACTTTGGTCACCAATACAGGATGAGCTAGTCTTGAATCTGTAGTCAAAAATGAAAATGTAGCCTGCAGGTATAATGGCATTGTGTTAGTTTTGGGTTAGTTAAATGTTGCTAAATTGTAGTTGATATCAAAATGTTTGAATTGTGCATAGTTGCACCAGAGAATGCAGTGTGTAACAAATCGAGTGCTACTCCTCCTCATAGAGTTTGAACCATGTGAGATCCTTAAAAGGTTGAAGACTGTGGCACATAGAAGAAATGCTGATACTCTCAAATTCTTCAAATCCGTTTTACTAAAAGTTTAGGTAATGCTAAATACTGAGATCCCCTAGTGACCTGCAGGGACAGATAAGTTGACTCCTTGCTTGTTGACCTAGTTATGATACCAGGGCTTAAAGGTTTAATGCGTAAAGTCAATCAACTTCTTACCCATGCACACTAGTAAAAATACTGTAGCAAAAAAAAATCTAGTTGTGCTGTATAGAGCTCAAATCATTTCTGTTCTTTCATCATTATGATTTTATTCAGAAGCTAAACAGAAACTTTCTCTGCCTTCCTAAGCCATTTTTGTTGAAGACTTCCATGGATATGGAGAGAACGCTGAAAGATGTCATGTAATGGATATGCAGGTCCTTCTTGGCATCGTATATAAACGCCCATCTTACGACTTCATATATGCAAAACACTGAGATTGCAAGATGCACTGTACAAATACAAAAGAATGTAAATTTTGTCTTTGGACTCTGAAAGAAGAAAAATTTATTTTATAGTTTACAGTATGTTATAGTGATTTCAGAAGAACAGGTAATTTTATCATCTGCCCAGAGCAGGTGGGAGGGAGGCAGGCATGGTTGGAGACAAAGTTGTGACTTTTTTCTTAGTATTTCTCCTTCTCATAATTGACCCCACCAATGATTCTGTTGCTTGTAGATCAATATGATGTTGGCAAACCTATACAAAAAAGCAGGTCAAGAACGCTCATCTGTTACTAGCTATAAAGAAGTACTGAGACAGTGCCCTTTAGCACTTGATGCCATACTAGGTAGGTATTTTGCACACATAAATATTTCAGTGTTTAATTGTTACTTAACACACAGATATAATTTGAATTGTAACTCCCTTTTGCATTTAATGTGTAATGTCTACGCTTGTATATGCTTGTCATGGGATGGACTTTTCTGGTTTTGGTCTATTAACTTGTCTCTGAAGCAGCTTATGGTGGCTGAAAGTGAGTATGGATTCTTTCCGAACAGGCCTGCTCTCGCTCTCGGTGAAAGGTGCTGAAGTGGCCTCCATGACAATGAATGTAATCCAGAGTATTCCTAACTTGGACTGGCTCTCGGTGTGGATCAAGGCGTATGCTTTTGTACATACAGGAGATAACACCAGAGCAATCAATACCATTTGGTAAGAGCTCCAAGAACCTGATGTAATCCAATAATACATAATGCTTATATATAATTATATTAAAGATGGCACTTATTTAACAGACATTTCTTTTCTCTTGAAGCTCTTTAGAGAAAAAGTCGCTCCTGAGGGATAATGTGGATTTACTGGGGAGCTTAGCAGACCTGTACTTCAGGGCTGGAGATAATAAAAACTCAATTTTAAAATTTGAACAAGCACAAATGCTGGATCCTTATCTAATAAAAGGTGAGTAACTGTAAATCCTCAGAGAAATGTCACCTGGATTTTATTTAGCTAATGATCTTTTGGGTAACATTACAGCAGCAGATACATGCAGTTAAGCATTTAGTGCAATATTGAATATTGCTGTGTCCCTGTTTATCAATTCAGAATTACATTCAGAAGTTGTATATGTTAAACAACTGGCAGTGGTAAAGTAGATGTTTGTGTTGAAAGTAATTTAAAACTGTAATCGTCAGATAGCATAGTTATATATTGAGAATAATTTAGTACAAAAAGCATATGCTTTTTTTTTTCTTCTGTTGTGAATTAACTTTTGCAATTTTTTAAGAGAATAAAACTTTAAAATGTTTTTATTTCCTCATACTGTTTGGTGGAATGAGGCCTATGATTGCACTGAGTTGTACCATAATTTCAGCAGTAGGACATCAGTACATCCCTCTGCTGCCATCAAAAGTGGCCCTGTTCTACATCGTCCCCTGCTCTTGGCACAAGTTGGGTTGCAGTGAACAGAATCAGGAAATATAAATTTGTTTAAAATCTTTTGTGAGGCTGTAGCATTTCATCACTTTGTGTTTCTGCACAGTAAATTTATCAGAGAGTGAGTCTTAATTCTTAAAAAAAAAAAAAAAAAAAAAAAGATTTCAGAAAAGTTATAAAATATTGGCTTTCATGCCTAAATTCCATTGGATC